GACTGTCTATTAATTTATATCTTTAATATCTTCTTTTAAAGGCATTTAACCGGATCTGTATATTACTGCATACTTCGCTATCCAAAGAATACCTGATATCGTAGTAACCAGTTGTGGATAGCGAAAACAATGTTTAATATGTACTGTGACATCGGAGGATAAACAGACTATATTTACTGCATACATTTTTCGAAACCTGCATTTCTCTAGCAATAAACTGTCAATAACCCTTGGGGTTAGCCTTGTCATGTATACTTTGATGGAATAATCAATTGGGGAGTTAAGAATATAAAAAGGAGACGTCCCGCTGTGCAAATGTTTTTTGACGGCGGGGCAATCCGGGTTGAGATCCCCGTCTCCAGCCCCATCTAATCCGGAGCTGTAACCCCGCATTGGCCACTATTGCCCGGATTTTTGACGGGGCAATCCGGGGCTGGCGCAGGCAAGGCACCCACTTAGCCCCGCATCCAACTCCCCACGCCTGGTCCTTTCAAGCCCTGCACCACATGCCTCCTGGCCGCCCTCCCTCTCTGGCCTGACGTCGATCAATACTCTAACTGTCGACTTTTTGCTCCGCTTGTGTAGCATGAACCGGGTAGCCACTCATAGCTTGCGTTGTCTACTACGATGATAACGCCTGGTTCCCCGTTTATGTTAAAACTTTCTGTCATTGGGTTTTTACTGCCTATAATAGTTCCTACCATAATCGCGGTTATTTTATGTCATCTGTTCCCTTCAGCTCAAAAGTCAGTATCAACTTTCGGGTTGAACTTTGGAAGGTTTTCCGCTGGGAAAGTATCCCAACGTATCTCATTACAAATACAAACGTTTAACCTAGGAACAAGGGAACTCACTTTTGTTCCATAATCCTCACAAATGTTTCTTGTAGCGACAAAACCGGAAAACATACAGGGTGTCCCAAAAAAATCTATGCACATTTTAATTAGTTGTAAACTTGGCCTTTATGATAATTTCCTTATTTCAAAAATTTAAAAATATTTCCAAGAATAACTTTATTGTTTTTTCATAGTATTTGACTTTTGAAACACTGGCTGAATTGAGAAAAGTCATTGAACACGAATGCACCAGAATACCAAGGGAAGTGGTTCATGGTGTGTGCGATTCCATTGCTTCGCGGTGTCAACAGTGTCATGATCAAAATGGACGTCAGTTTGAGAACATTCAGTAAAAAAATAATAAAATGATATTTGTTAATATTTTTTACATTTTTGACATAGTAAAATTATGATAAATATCAATTTTACAATTATGTAAAATATGTATACATTTTTCTGGGACCCCGGTTTATCGGGACTTTTATGTAGTGGCTGGGTTGTGTACATCATCTATCGTTTTCAACGGAAATTAATAATTGTGGGTTCCTGGCTCTTGCTTAAAGAAATTCCTAATGGCTCACGTCAATCGAAATAATTTTCTGACCGCTTGCAACGTCGAGCTTCTCTCCGATTCAACAAGGTACGCCGGGAGGGACAACGGGGAATCATTCGTATGTAGCGGAACCTATTTTAGCAGCAAATTCCCTCATTCTCAGTTACCTAGCGTCCTCGGAAAGCCGAATGGCTGATGGACACGCAGTGTTTCCTTTAGACTTTATTACTGCAACGTTTAATTGTTACAACTTCCTCATTTCCTAGCTCGGTCCTGAAACTCTGAGTAGCAAAATTTGCTTGAGACTTAGCTTCTTTCCAAAAGCAGGCAGTCCCCCCGTTTATCGTAGAATTCAGGCCCACCGCCTCTCTGACAAGTCCAATCAGATTCTTCCTCTCATCCTCGAGCGGCCGCTATCTAATCTGATCAACCTACATTAGGCTTCACGACTCTACTCCGCGCCCTTCTGCACAGAGTCTAGCGTCGTTTCTCACTGCCAAGTATAATATTCGTCGTTCTGTCAACTCCTGTGATAGTACAGGTGGTAAACGTTTTCTTGTGAGGGCTTGTGCCCAACTTATGTTATATAATCTACAGAAAACAACCATAGTTGTAACAAATCGAACTGTTCCCTCAAGCTCATCAACTTCTTTCCTAATATCACCTTCAGTTCGTGCTTCGAGTCCCTGAACATCGGATTTCAGTAAACATTGGGCAGAAATTTCTCACACTTTTGAAGTTCTTTCTGAGTACTGTTAAATGCATCTGTATTAATAGGTGACTGTTTTCTCCCGGGAAGTATTCCCATTTTGCGATAGCCCATGATTGTTCCTTTATTAAGGAGCATGGACGGCCTTGACTGTCTAAAAGAACATCCTTGCGAGTGCTGTAATCAACCAGAATGTAATGCGGTCAATGCCAAGGTAAAGCGCTCACAGGGTAGGTCCATGATTTTGGCCAGGTGGGGAGGTGAGCTAAAGCCCCGGAGTTCGCAATGATAACTGTCTACTGCATCTTTCTTCCCGAAGTACTAATAGTTTGCTGACGACGAATACTTCTGCACAACAATGCACTCACTCGTCGCAAATTCACTTGCGACGCCACATAAAGTTGTTAGCCGTTGTTTTAACCAACGGCCCTCATGCCTTATATTATTCAAACGACCGTACTCCGATTTGTCACGTGCGAGACGCCTTGATGTCGCAAAGCTCCGGCAACCCAGCAATAGCGAGGCCCTAAGCACAGAATTCCGGTCCCGTCTTACAACTCGAGCTGACAGGGAAGGCACTAGCAAGTGGTCATCACTGAAGACATCCGTCTATGGGGCAGCTGAGAAAATTCTCGGATTCACTCAGGGGCGCCGAAGTGACTGGATCAGCGAAAGAACCCTGCAGCTATCAGCCGAGACGACTCGAGCCAGGTCCCGAAACGATGCTTCTTTCCGCCGACTCTGTAGAGACAAGACAAGCTGCGAGAAATACTGCAGCATAAGTCTTATCAACGTTGCTGCAAGGTTTTTCGATATCGTTCTTTTCATGCGTTTCCAGTCTATACGTGACTCCAGGACGCGGTCCAACCAAGCCGCATTCTGTGCTGGGCATGGATATTCGGACCAGATATTTACGCTGAGGCGTATTCCAGGATTCCGCTATAACTACCAGCAACTGACAGTCGTCTGCTTTGTCAACTTCGCCACCGCATTCGTTTCCATCTATCGTGAGTCCCCATGGCGAATAATGAAACTAGATAGAGTGTTGACCAAACTCATTGCCATGATTGAGGCCTACTATCGGTCCACCACCGCACGAGTCCTGGTCCACAACAATCTAATCCAACCGTTCGATATTCAGTCTGGTGTCCGACAGGGCTGCGTCCTGTCGCCCATTCTGGTTAACTACGTCATTAACTGGATTGTCGGGAAGGCCCTACATGAAGAGGAGCTTGCACTTAGACGCCAGATAACTTATCTCGACTACGCCGATGATATTGCACTGCTAGCCTCAAGCTTTGGTGGTCCATATGCTGTACTGTTACGGATAAATGAGATTGCTATGTCGGTTTGCATGTCCATAAATTCCGGAAAGACGAAGTTATTCTCGAGCTGCATCCGTGACGAGGAGAAGGCACCCCTGGGGATTAATTGCCATCAACTTAAAGAAGTAGACAGCCTTAAATACCTCGGGGCGAGGCTGCTACCGAATGGGTAGAGAAAGGGCGACATAGTCTCCCGTATTGACGCTATACATCAAGGTCAAGGTCGAGCGCCGGTTTCGAAATTTCAGCTAAGTCATCAGTCTTATATAAATCGATGCTATCTAGAGAAGATACGACTATTAGTCGCTCGTTTTCTTATATAAATTATCCGTAAGTTTCAGTACTTACGCTTGAAAAATCTGCTTCCATTCCTTTTGTTGGTCTGGTCTC